TTAACCCAATTTTGGTGTTATTCAACACCAATATAGAGAAAATATACACCAAATCAGTGTTGCTGTAACACTTCAAAGGTGTTTTTAAACGCATTCAGGATCGTATGTAGGTCATATTTACACCATTTTGGTGTAAATATACACGACGGTAATGTTAACTGAACACCTATTTGGTGTCCACACAGCTGCAAGAATTTACACTTTTTTAGTGTTACCATGACACCTCGATTTTGCTGTGTATAGATTTAGCCAGGGTAAAAGCGAAGCTCCAATTAATAAATTTATAATTTCAATCAACGAATAAACTTTTAATCCACAAATCAGTTAACTTAAGGGCACATTCATGTGACTTTTGAGGGAAAGGCTAAGTTATTTTCGAGTGAAACATCTTACATCGAATTTATAGCCTTATATGTACACCCAAAAAATAGCAAACATCTTGAATCCCATTCAAGTTTACAGTAGATTAGGCCTCAAAAATAAATTCTTGGAAAACAAATCAGGCCCAATTTTTTGCGTTTGACAGAATTACTTTACAAATTGTTACCAACAATTCTGGGGGTGTTTAATAAACCAACCTTTAATAATTATTATACATCACATTTGAGGTGAAAGAGTATTATTTATCATACAGACCTCGGACAGAATGCAATATTTCACAATTCTTCAAGACAAATTGCACTCAGTCAATATTCAGGACAATCAATCGTGGGCTTTAAGTGAAACAATTAAAAAAATTTCCAAAATCACCCATACGGCCAGCCAGTTCTCATTTCTATAGTGCGAGCTGTCAGTGTGGTCGAGTGTTTGAATGAACTTTAATAGAGTTAGGCTTCAACATAATGAATTTATTATTATCATTTTTTTATTTAATGGTTTCAGTTATAATGATGTGTAATCTTATAAAGCATTTGATGCGCACGACATTTTTAAGTACTCCTGCAAGCAATGTTGATGAACAATGAAAACAAACGGCATGGACAAGTGATTAAAATTGAAAGAGAGACTACTAACAATCAATAAAAGAAATATACCTCGGTGAAACATTTACAGAGACAACAATTTTCATTCACGAAGACAAGTATTAAAGTGTCTCTAAAAATCCTGAGTCTTTAAGCGTAAAGCTTAAGTTTATGTGTTAAGCTGGCTTCCCAGCGAGGTGTTCACTGTTTTCGAAGGTGAACTCCTTGAAGCAAGAAAATCGCTCTAAGTTTTCTTTCTACAGCCAAATTTATAACTAAATATTCTTCAGAACGCTTTCTTTCTATTTGCGGTGAGCAAATATATCTGAAGGCTTTTTAAAGTTCTGTAAGCTTATTTGAAACCTGATACTAGGTCAGATCATTGACTCAAATCCTACAAATGTGCATAAACTTGCCACATAAACTGTCAGCGTGAACTGTGCTCGACTTCATGAAATTAGATATAACAAAAACAAACATCAAAATACAATAATTACTCAGGCTTACCATTTGAGATTCAGTTCCTGAAAGCTATCAAGGAAGGCCACAGTTGCTTGAGACTTTTAAAACCTCTTGCGTATCAAGCAAGGTGAAAAACAAAACCGATGCCATCCGAAATCAAATTACCGAATTTTGACAAGCGACGCATTTCTCAACTAAAAACCCAGTAAACAAACCAGCCATGAATAACAGAAGACTCCTGATAGCAGCTGTATTTTGTACATCCAGAGAAAAAGACAGTTAAAAACATCACAAGTTGACACAAAACTCTGTCAGCTTCAGCTGTCAAAGTAAACAACTTTCAAGATGCTGCATAAATTTTCCGCATGAAATCACCTCTCAAACTTTGACCAATGAGAGCATAAAAATTGGACGTAGAGCGTGACCAACAAGTGACCATGGTAAAAGAAGGTCTTCCCCGCCTGTAATTATAAAAAAACTGGCTGAATTTTACGTGCGAGGTCAGTTTGAAATCAAAATCCTAATAGTGCGGGGCCATAGTGACATATACACAACATATTTAATATGAATCACTGGAAAAAATAAACTTGAGCCTGCAATCATTTGAGACTGGTAATTTGTCAGCGGATAACTTCAAAAAAATACTCGACCTTAATGGGTCGACACGAGCCTGCAGTATGGTCAGGTGATACTGGTCAGCGGATGCCCTGTTTTGATAGCTGTCAATTGATCACAACATTGATGTACAATTAGTTTTCTAATTTTTTTTTCAGGCTTCTTCTTTGCAGTTGCTTAAATTGTAAAATTTACTGCGATGATCATTCTTCACTTTCAATTAATTTTCTCTTGGGCTCCCAAACTAGCTAGGAAATGTGACGGTAAACATTGGTTTCCCCATGGTGCGGACGGATGGTGTACAGTCACGTGATTACCAAATTTTCTGGGATGGGTAGATTTACTTAGCTAATGAAAATTGTTTTTAAACGGAGTTACTGTTTTTTTAGCAGGATGGCCATCAACATTTGAAAATTTTGTTGTTGATTGGCCAGACTGCTGATTGGTGTCGTTGTTTCATAGCTTCTTGATGTAGCTGTACTTGTTGTTGTTGAAACTCCTGTCGTTTTTGTTGCTGTAGCAGAATGTTAAAGAGGTCTTCGTGCCTCCTTGCTTTGTTAGTCATGTGGGATAGTTTTGATTCTTCTCCCTTAGCATGCATGGCCATTTAATTCCCTCTCTGCCTTCTCCTTAAGGTATGCAGTCATCTCTGAACCAATTGACCTTCTCCTGATATGCTTTGCAGGTCTATTCCTATCCTCATCTCTTCTCTTTTTGGTCTAGCTTAGGGCCTTCATGGCCCTCAGCCGGATGTCTGGTCATAGCCACCTCCCTTTTCTTCTTTTCAGTCTCTTTCTCATTCTCTGCCACATTTGTCTCCATCTTTTCTATTTTTTTCATTAAATATATTATCCAGTCCTGATGGTTTTGGGCTAATCCCATTGGCTTCCAGCTCATCTGCATTCTTCGTCTTGTGTTTTTTTTTTCTATTAAGAGCGCTATACGGTCCTTGACACCTCCTTGAGGTTAGCTTCTCGAATTTCCGTGGGTAATTTGTTATGACCTTGTTGACAAGATCCTGCCATGCCTGGACACTGAGCAGTGCTCTCCTCGAATTGAAATGGTTCAAGGTAAAGAAGCTCAAGGGCTTTAAGTTGGATAAAGATGAAATATTCAAGTCTTGAAATATTCTTCAGCTCTGCATACTATAATTATATTTAGTTATAAGTTTATCAATATAATGCAAGGCGTTCAATTGAAAATTCTTAAATCGGCACTGTTCTAAGATGTTTAAACTGGTCATGATTAGGTGATGCTGTGAACAGCATAGATTTTATAATTTTCAAATGAACATTACATTTAAATTTCTACAATGGACAACGATTGTTAATCTCTATTTTTTCTCTAAACAATATGCATGAGCAGGCCTGTTTTATACTTTGTGTGTACAGTAATACACAGAAAGAAGTTTTTCATACTTTCTCCAGTGAAATTTCCAACAAAAGAAAACATTACAGAAGTAAATTAAAACTAAGCCTGTGAAGGGTATGGCAAATATCACTCAGACATCCTCCAGTCTAAAAGGGTTTAATAGCACCTGTACTCCACATGCTTACATGCAGATCTAAAACAAGCGGAAACCATAAAATAACGAGCTAGAGAGGCAAGAGAAAGGTATACCTGGCTTAGAAGCTAACTAAGGTAAACTTTACAGCCTGATCCTCATGACTAATGAGGAGCTGGATAGAGTTGTTAGATTGTCTGCATTTGGACCTCGTTAAAATCCCGCCCTTGGGTCTCTTGTTCGCTGTTGTCAAGTTCAAACTGGGCTGGAGGGCTGTCGATGGATGGGTTAGAGCTATGATTCTAAGGCGGGCATTCAAGTTTCTCTTGTACACCAGTGGATTGAAGTCCCTGCTGTAAACACACGGATTGAAGATCAGTGAGAGACAGAGCCCTAAGCAGGTGGGATTAATGTTGTGTTTCAAGCGTTGGTGGGAAGTCAGCCATGTAGGACAGGCTAGCATCATCCTGGTCAGTCGAAAAAATGCCGTCAAGACTGCACACAGCAATGTAGAAATAAACTTAAATACGGGCAGGTAAATGAATCAAACGTGAGAACAGTTACAATGTTTCAAACAGAGCAGGACAAGTATTCAGCCAACAGCGAGGGGTGAATGAACTCCCTGAGATATGGTTCATGCTCAGGGCATGAGAGTCGATTGACAGAATCTATAGTTTCACTGCCACGCTCTCCCTTCTTAATACTGCATGTCACACAATCTAAACATGCAGTCACATATGGTTGTCCCATTGACTTAAATAAACGTATGCATAAATTGATTTCTATACCTTCTGACCCATAAAAATAATCAATTTCTCCAACTGATTTTTTTCTTTCCACTCACTCTTAAAGGTAAGCGCAATAATGTTAACTGATTTATTTTCCTCCATTAACAACACCCATTGCGGTGATGGCATTGTCAAACTCAAAACAAAATAACAGTGACCCAGGATTCCTCCATTCCGTTTCCCATCTACGGATATCAGTAAAAACAAGTAGAGACTATTTCGTTTGTACGTTGCAGACTTCTCACACCAAATTCACCCGAGTAGTTGAATTTGACCAAAAAACCCATGAACAAGCTCCGTAATACACAAATTGGAGACCCTTAAAATTTGGTTGGTGTGATAGAACATGATGGTAAACTCTTTGTGAATCAAACAATCAATGTTGTTCAAGTAAATGCAAGTGACATGAACTTTGAACATCAACCACCACAGGATAAAAAATCACCACCACAAATAATGGTGGCAGCTGATATTAACGTAGCTAACATTCATAAACGTAGGCATAACCAGAGTGAATGCCCAAGGGGTAATAACCGTGGGAGACTTACCACCAAAGGAAGTAACGAAGAGCAATGGAAAAGTGGGAAAACTAAAAGAGGACTGTGTCATTGAAAAACAAAAATTATCTTAAAAATTGTTATATGACACATTTTAAAGTTAAGAACTAAATCCGAAACTAAAATACAAGGGAAGCTCTAGGTGTTACAAGCAAATGCTTTCGTGAACAAGTACGTCTTAATTGCTCCTTGAACAGATTTTTAACTCCAATTGCTCATATTCCAGAGGGTAATGTATTCCATAATCTAGGCACGGCTACTTGGAATGATTTATCTTAAAGAGCTTTCTTGGTCTTAACCAATGGTGGCTCTAACAGCAGTTCCTTGCTCAAATGCAGGTTACATTGTGTGTGTTCTTTAATCTTGATTAAGTTACAAACCTAAGATGGTGCAACACTTTAAGTTGCCTTAAAACGTACGATCAATATTTTATACTCGATTTTAAAACGAACTGCAAGCCAATGCGTAGGAATTAATGTAGGTCTTATGTGGTCAAATTTAGGTGTTGGAAAGACTAATCAGGATGCACAATTCTCTATGCACTGTTGAAGAGCAAACTATTGCAATAGTCTATGCAACCCATAAGGATGGCATGAACAAGGGACTGAGTGGCGTCACTTGTAAGATACTTTCTCATACGTCTTATGTTGTAGAGATGGAAAGAGGTGGCTTTACGCAACTTATCTATAATAAATAGATTTAGCCAGGGCTAAAACGAAAACTCCCTTTTACAAATTTATAATTTAAATCAAACAATAAACTTGTAATCAACATGTCAGTTATCTTAAGGGCACATTCGTGGGAATTTTGAGGAAAACGCAGATTTTTCTATTTCTTAGGGTGTGTAAGATGGAATGCCAATACTTTTACCCAAACAGTTATCACTTACGGCTGGGCACAGAGAAAAAAATGCACGAGAAGAAAGGAAAAGAGAGAGCATTCAATGACAACGTTTATTCTGTACCTCTTTTTTCTATCTGACCAAAGAATTCTTGGAGGAATAAAATAAGGTTTGAGCTCTGACCATGTTTCTTCCCTTTCAGGGCGTAATTCCACTTTTTCAATGAGCATCCCTGCACCTGTCACATGGATGTCACCCCCTACGGCAAGTACCAACAACACATAAAACAAAACTGATAAAGTACTGGCCTAACAGTATTCATCAAAGTGTGTGTCTATAAGTTAACATTTCTCTTAAGGAACCGAAAAGCCTCAACTGGATTCTTTGATTCTACTTTTTCTGGATTTTGAAGTATATCTTTACATTCTCTCTTTACCTCTGGGTCCATAAAATCAAGCAGATCCCCATCCATAAGCCCTGAAAGCGCAGAAACCTCTCGTAACTGATCATTGCTCAATTTCATCCCCATATTGGTTCATCCATATTGCCCAGGGAAAGAAAACATATGTTCTGGCACCCACCCCAGTTGGAATTTCTAAATTTTCTTGTCCTCAAATTCTGTGAGAGTTTCAGCACTTACGAAACATGTCACGCTCTCTTTGGACAATTGGAATGAGGACATAGGCAAGAAGCTGTCTGTCCAGTGCACTGTGTGGATCATGTTCTCCTCCCCTTAAAGGCACTGACAATGGCACTTTAAAGAATTTTTCTAGTCTTTCATGAAGATCTCGCCACCATCGCTCGATCTTGTTGCTAGTTGAGGGGCCATAAATAATTGAATCAGTGGGGTCATCCATAACCTTAGGCTGGTTCAAAAGGTATGCATGTATTGTGGCCATTTTCCGTCTCAGTTACCTCTGTCTCAAGCAAGTACTGAGGATACATCCTGCCAACGATTATAGGGTTCGAGTTGGAATAACATAGAAACAAGAACAAGACCTTGTGAGAGAATGTGTCAATACAGCCATAAACTCCCAGGGGGAATCTTGAGTTCCGATACCCACACAATGGGTCATGGCCAAGACCTTGTGAGAGAATGTGTCAATACAGCCATAAACTCCCAGGGGGAATCTTGAGTTCCGATACCCACACAATGGGTCATGGCCATCCAAGGAGACTCTCCATATCACGCCCTCAGATGAAAAGTGACCCTTTGCTTTCTTCCCTTTTCTTTGAAGGTTTCTTGCTTTCAGTCCTTCGGGATCCAATTCAGCCATCATGTTGTGAATAAGATGGTGCAGTACCAGTATGTTGTGCTCTGTTCTAAGCTTTTGATTCATAGCTCTGTACCTCAATATCTTACCTGGTCCCTCTAAATATTTCTTAACTGCGGCAGAAACTTTCACAAGTGGAGTGTCATAATTTATGTGGTGAATGCCATAGTGATGAAAGTGTCTGCCGTGGGTTGCGATACTCCATGTGTATTGACGAAAATCCTGTTTCACAAAGTCCAGAACTTCTTACAACACTGCTGCCATTATGAAAACTGAGTGGTCACACAGAAAAACTAGTCCCAGTTCTTACCGCATGGATTGATAAGGGAGCGTTCATTTTTTGCAAGGTAGGCGGGCTGGTGGAATTTTTTGAACCCCCATTACGAATTACCATGGCCCCCCCGTCCTCATTTTTTCTCCTGCCCCCCCTCACAGATGGTCATTTTTTGGGGGTGACCCCCCTTTCAAAAGAGACATTATCATAATTAAACCTGACACGCATACATTTTGCAGTGTACAATATGATTTGTATCTTCAGTTGAATGTAAAGCTGTTGTCAACTCATTCTACAGATGTAGCAGCCACTAGAAGAAAGTAAACACAGTTTCCGTAGCACTTTCAAGGACCTACATAAAGACCGCATCAGCAAGGGAAGAAGAAAAAAAGAAAACCATCGACAATCGAATGCAAGAAAAAAGAAAAGGTTTTAAAACAACGTCCAACAAGTGTATAGTATTTGTGTCGGAAACCCGCTAGGTAATGATCTTCTGAAATGTCTTCTGTATCCTCCTTACCTTGCCGTCCCTGAAGGATGCATCGGCGTTGAGAAAGTTTCTGAATTGCTTTTTGATCAAGATGCGGCATACATTGCACAGCTCTTGCAAAAAAAACATTTCAGCAATGCTGCAGGAAGCAGAATTATCACAAACCTCAAGCCGGATTATGACTGAAAACGACGAAAGCGACTCTAGCAGCAGCATGAGCGATGAGGACGAGCTTGGCAATAATGACGAAGAGGAACAGGAGCAGAGAGACGTTGCACGGCACTAACCTGATAAAGAATCTTTTAATGATAGTTTCCTAGCTTTGAAAATTGTTGTTGTGGAACTGAACGCTGTCATGTAAACACAGAACAAAAGTTTTTGATACATTTATATACCTTTTGCTTGTTTCTGTATATGTATATTTATTTAATAATAAAACATCATGTCAACTGTACATAAACTAAAATATTTCGCATGACCCCCCCTTCCCTCCCTTTGTTTTTTGGGATGGGCCCCCTTTTAAGCCGTTTTTTTTGCATGACCCCCCCAAATCCCACCAGTCCCCCATACCTCGTAAAAAATGAACGGTCCCTAACATTGATCCATTCATATTTTTTTAACAAGGTAATGCTTTCAAGTTTTCTTTTTGTTTTTGCTGTTTGTACGATGACCACTAACTATAAATATAATTTTTTAACCTGTAATTTCAAATCATGTAACAAATTTAATGTGATTACATTTTACCTTAAAAATAACAGATTAAACTGATTCTTTCAAAGCAACCAGATATCAGAAATGAAATCATAATTTTAGTGTAGATGTAAGACAAGAATTGACATGAGATTACTCGTTATAATATAAAATGACATCGACTTCTGACTTTTATGCAAAGAAATGACGTGATAATGATGGGCCACCATAGTTTACCTCCCCCAAAAAGCAGCAATGGAATCCCTGAGAAAGTTCGAAAATGCCATGGCGTTGTTAAAGAGTGCATTTTGTTTACATGCAGAATGCACAGATGTGTCAGGTCGTACGATGACCGCCAACATACGCATAGGAACGAGCTGCAACAAACATACAAACGTAAGTTGGATACTCAGACTGGTCTGCTAAAGGAGATTTGCTAGTCAACCAAACCACAACTATGGTAATACAGACAAAATCATTTTGTTCATGATCAGCAGCTAGGCAGGGACCTCGTCTGAAAACACCTCACACAAGCATCAAGAGTTTCACGTTTCCAGTTGCATTGCGATGCACTGTGGGACAGAAAGTGAGCACCAAACTCACCATACTGGATTTCTCACTCAAGGGATTTCATTGATCTTTTCTCTCTGAATATTTGCCTTATCGGATAACGTGCTTCTCAGTCGTCAATAAATTTTGCTTTTCTATCTATGGGATTTGGGCACAGATCCTGTGCAGTGATAGGTTGTCCAAACAGTTGCAAGCGGCTAAAAAAATGGTCTTCATCGATATGCAAAATCCACAAATGTTTTTATGGCAAAAGTCCTTGTAATTGTGAGCCTCCATTCCCGCTGTTTACCTTCCCAATGGAAGTTAAGAACAAAGAGGCATGTACTCGTTGGACCCAAGGCTATTAACAGGCAAAATGAAAAAGGGAAACTCTGGCTGCCAAAGAAATCGTCAAAAGTTTGTGAACACTTCGTATCTCGTAAACCTATGCCCCTAATAGGTTGGTTGCTTCCAGTCCGTTAAGAGTTAGTTTGGGAAACGTACTTGTCGGTAAGAAAAGCAGATCCATTTAATGAATGTTTCCCTTGGGAGTCTTCGGGAAAAGGGCGATTGTTTGGTCCCTAATTCGTTGCCAGACAACTGCAGACACCGTTAGAACTCACCAAGCAATCCATTTCAATAAAACTATTAACCTTACATTCTATCATCCCTTCGGCCCTCGCTGTTATTTTCTGTGTGTAGTTATACCCTTAACTGTGCATTGAGACTTGAGACTATTTCTTCAGATTTGCGACTTCAGTCACACGCGTGGTCATTTGCTTGACTCATTCGATGGACTAAGAAAAAAGAGAGACTGCTCGTAGTCTAACTGATACTTATCCTTTGTTGTCAAACTTACAATTCATCAAGCGATAAACCAATTGTGTCCCCGCATTTCAGTCACATGGATACACCTTGATACCACAGTAAAGAACAGCATGATAGCAATACGCAACTTAAACAAAGCTTTATTACTTATATTGTTTGCTGTTTACATTTACGTTTACAGTTTACAGTGCCTCCTTCCTGGTTTCAAGAGAAACACCTTTGCGCGTGGCTTCTTTCATTTCTGTGTCTAAGCATCGACAAAAAATAGCAAACCTGAAAAGTAGTAAATCATAAATTTTGTAAACATTGGGTTATTCCAGAAAAGATCCACACCCCCACGACAGAAGGCACGGTTTTTTGACCCCCCCCCTTTCCACCTGAATTTCAAAAACTGCTTAAGTCCCCCTTCCCTCAGGATTTCCAAGTTCAAAGACCCGTCACCCATCTGGATTTCCATAAAATTGCTAGACACCGTTATTTTAATTTACGCTCAATGTAGAAGAATCCTTTCAGGCACTTAGGTGATGTTTTCATTAAATAAGTCTCAATTTTCCGTGAATTCGGTGTTTGCTGTGAAAGTTAAGATTCCATTTTCACATCTTCTTAAACAGGCCTACACTTTTTGCAAATAAGCTCAAATTTGAGTGAACTTCTCTTTTTTCTAGAACACGCAAAATATACAGCAATATGTACCACAATGAAGCTCAAAACTATGTTCTTGAATGAATGGTTCTCTTCTTTGTCGATAAAAAATGACCGTAAAAGAAAGAAAAAGGACACTTAGTGGAATATTACATGACTCGCTATATGCTTGCCACAACACTTGCCTTTCAAAATGGCCGCCAAACGATCACGAACAACCTTGCTTACTTGTAAGGCGTTTTTAATGGTAAATCACCCTGAAATAGCATTGACCTTGGAAAAATGTTTAATTCAAGGTAAAATCATTGTTTGCTTTCCTTGAATTCAGCCCTTTTTATGAATTAGGCGATTTTTCTTGATATCTTTAAGTTATCGCAGCTCGCTTCTACAAAAGTAACGAGGGCGAGCCTATGGATGGAAACTTAAAATAAATGTGGTAAGAGGTCGGTAGTTTGAAAGAATAATAAAATTTGAAAAGGCAAACCCATTTTTTGAAAACTTATTGATTGAAGCGATTGAAACATCAATGAAAATCAATAAGGTTACCCCCGAGGATGTATTTTAGGTTCAGCGCCCCTCACCCATCTGGATTTCCAGAGCCGTTAACCCCTCCTCCCATGAGATTTTCCAGCATGCCTTTCGTCATGGGTGGGTGGATTTTTTCTGGAATGACCCATTCTAAGTTTCTATATCACATAAAGCAAACTAGATTAAAGTATAACTTCTCTAAACGTACCTCTTATCTTTGCTGTCTAAAGGATTCAATGCATTCCCTCCATTTACGTTCTTCAAATACAGCTTTAAGCCACAAACAATTCCATACAAGGAACGAGACAGATAGCGACCACCGTTCTTATTAGCAACTTCTTGGACGAATTTTGTGAGCCAATAGTTTAGGGAAAGACTATCCAGGTCCCCCAACTTCTCTTCAAGACTTTGCACACGGTAAACATCAATCTTTGAATATGCTTCCCACATCAAATATACAGAATTTTTGCTTGCGCAATGCTTGCCAAGTTCTAAAAACCTCAACGGCCCACTTGTCTTTATACTGTGTACTTTTAGGCTTGGACTGTACAAGCAAAGAATCTTCTTCTTGCACACTTTTGGGCGGTCAAAACCGGCAAGATTCATCCTCAGCTAACCCGTCCATGTTTCGGAACTAGCAGAATGCCACTGAATGTAAATTGTGACTACTTGAAATAAACAAGCTTCAGATGGGAAAAACACGGACATTATCATCACAAACTATGCCGCGATTAAACAAAAGAAGGCAAAAATCACATGCTTAGGTGACTTTTGCTTTCTTTTGTTCTTTTGTTTTACTTTTTTTCCTTTGTTTGCAATTTGGCACGGATTGGGAAGCCATTTCAAAAACTCGTGCTTCGTGTTTTACCGGTGTTTCCAAACACTCAAAAACATCAGTTTCTTGTATCTGGAAACTCCAGTAAAACACTCGCACTTGTTCTGAAATATTACTTCAACTCTTGGGAGAATCTGACCATGAATCAGAGGATGACGAGGTTACTACAGCCGGTTGTTGACCCTGACCCTACACCAACAGAGGTCTTTCTTGTGAGATAACAGCCAACAATACTTCACAGGGCAAACAGCGCTCCAATGGTCTACCGGCTGTCATTCCCAATCATCAAGAAACCGCGCAGCGCGGAACTGCTCAAGACTTATTTCGGTATAGAAAATAGTCACTTGTATGTTGAATCAGAAAGTTGTACTTCTTTAAGAATTGTTAACCATGTTACCAACAGTAATGGAGATGACAATTGCAGTAAATTCGTCTTAACAACTGAATCAGATAGTTAGCCTAGTTAAAGGAACTGGGTCAAAGTTGTCTGAACACGTTTACTGGAAGGGAAATTCTGGTGCAAATGCCAGTAATTGCTTCAATATATATTCTACATCATTTTTAAGTATCCTTTTACGAATCAATTTATCGTTTCCCTATGGCCTGAGACTGAATTTTTTTGTTGTTTTCACGTTTATAGGTCTTATGTCTCTGTTATAATTGAAGATGTCATTCAGTTAGACTCGGAAGAGGACGACAACCACGCCGGTGACCCCTTTGAAGTTTCAAAGGGAAATAAAACGGCAAGGTCCACTGAATTTTAGACTTCTAACTTTTCAATTACAATATCAGCAGTATTCTTTCTCCCCATTGATATGTATAACAGGTTCGCCCTTTCAGCAAGAAAAGTAAAGGGACTCTGTTGTTCACCCTACTAAGGCTAGATCACTTTCCATATCGTTCATATCAACTGGTATGAAGTTACTTAACCTAAAAAGAATTGTTTGGCACATTTGTGATGGAATCCTAAAACTCTGTTCATTTCCCTTTGTAGCTATAACAGAACATTGCCTGAAATTCTCCGACAAATCCAAGATAAAATCAACACGGGTATAACATAAATATCTTTCACAAATGTACAGAGAAGTGCAATTTGGATGGACACCTGTCGCCAACTTATGCAGAAACGTTTTTCTCCATACAACCGCATTTCCGTAAAGTTTGGCGACAACGAGGGGAATAGCCAGGGGGCTGTTGATGTGGGTGGCCCGAGATGAGAGTTTTTGCGATAAGCTGTGAAAGCTGCCAATGAGGATTCAGGAATCTTCATTGGACCGGCAACATGTTACAGTTTATTTCCAAATGTTGTTGGTATGTGCCTACTTTGTTAGAAGTCAAGGTAAATATAACTGTGGACCATTTAAATGATAAACAGCGTAAATTAAGTTTTGGTTCACACTTGTGTTTTGTCTCCAGCACACAAGAAAGATCTGTACCGCCTTGTAGGCGTCGTCTTAGCATGGTCACTGTGGCGTAGAGGTCCTGTTGGTAATTTCTTCAGTGGTACGCTGTACGATTCCATTGCTTATGGACCGGGTACAAGGCCACCACATTTGATGGACATACCTGATCAAGACTTAAAACAGAAGATTATTCAGGCAAGTCTCATGTTTAATTGATACCGGAGGACTAGTCTTGAGTGTTATGGTGTCACTAGCCTTACGGTTACCAGGGTTGTAATGTTTAACGACATAAGATCTGATAGTGCTGTAGCATCAAACAAAATTTAAGTGCCAGGTTTCTATCTTTCAGATTGCTGATTCCAAAACAGACAAAGAGTTGAAAAACAACCTGCATCATGAAGATATCCAAGGTATCCTGGATGCTCAAGGTGCAGTCAAGTCGCCAGTATTACAAAGTAAAGATTCCATCGTGAAAATCATCCTTCGTCACGTCCTTGTAGACTCCATGAGGTATCTCCTGGAAGACTTTAAGAAAGGCCTGGAAACTCTGGGTGCACTGGAGGCCATTCAAAAACACCCAGAGCAATTCCGAGAGCTGTTTACTACGGAGAATATTGCCACAGTAGATCCAATTTTTCGCACAGACTTTGATGAACAGGGATCCAATCGGAGAAACAGCCAAGAGCTGGCAATTATCCATTGGAGGGATTATCTTCAAGATTGCGAAAGTATTTTTCAAATTGACCATCTAAGTTGAGAGTGTGGGAATGTATTTCAAGCCTGACAAAAGAGCCGACAATTCGCGACACCACCACTAGTTTCAAAGTTCCTTTTTCTTTTTCATTTGTTCCTCAGGCATGGTTTTTAAAGCAATGGTGATATTGGGAATTGTCAACTGTTTTCTCAGGTAATCATCACAAAATCCAATGGAAACACAAAGGATGCTTCATGTAAGCGTTCATTTGCTCTACATCCAAATAATACATTGACAAGTGCTTTATGTCTACTAACACTTTCATACCATATGCAACCTTTTCCTCCAGTCAACTTGTAAAGACGGTCTCAGTAAGAAGGACAATCACTTATGTATTCCCACCATACCTATGAATGATTGGACATGAAAAGGCCAAATACTGTGATAACTATTGACCTTTTTTCTTTACACTTTAGGTGGAGACGCCTGAGCAACCCTGGGGGACGTCCTCTCCTTCGCTACTAGAGCAGATGTACCACCCGTGTTAGGGTTCGATAACAGCCCCGTTATCGCCTACACAGACACGGCTGTCGCAACTGCCAATACCTGCACCACAACATTGAGGTTACCAACTGTGTATGACAGTTATGATGAATTCAAGGAGAAAGTGGACTTCAATATTCTGAACTCTCCTTGTTGTGGACAAGCGTAACAGATTTTGTAAGATTTCGTATTAATATTGTTTGGCTTCTTTACCGCACAAAAGCCACGTCCTTGTTCTGACTAATTTCAGAGGCGTTTTTCATAATCGTGATCGTCTTTTAAGTCTGTTTGTTACCAAATAATAGTGCAATATTAACAAGGGCAGGAATTATACCTAACAAGTTTTCAAATATTTAGGACAGTGCTAGAAAGAATATCATTGCGGACTTTGTAATTCAATTTCTGAAGTAAATTTTCATTGTTTTGTTGTAGTCGAAACAAGTTTTAATAGGTAAATTAAGTTTGTCTGTTTGTTTTCGAAAGCATCAGACATGAAACAAGGTCGGCTGCTTTTTAATAAGAAAAGAATTTGCTGTCTCATGCACCGGTTTGTGATTGGTTGAAGTTTTGAAATTTTGTTCAAAGGCTAGGGAGGGCGATTAGTTTTTCTAAAATGTTAATTTTAATAGGCAAATTACTGTTTTTCATTTACGCTGGTGTTTCCATCAAGCCTTTGCTTTACATGCACCAATCATGTACAGTCGAACCTCTCTAATACTAACACTGAACGGAAAGAGCAAAGTGTCTGTATTAGGGTGGATTTGTTGCATAATTTTTACCTGTGTACGTGCATAAAATGTTCGTTTGCAAATAAAATAGAGGTAATGCAAAAAAGGTCGCTTGTAAGCGTAAAAGTTGAACCTCGCTCTACTTCTCATTTAAGCTCAGCACTTTTTATGTTACCTCTATTTTATTTATGTGATTAAAATTTACAGGCAGTAACGTGCGTAGCCAAAAACCCGTCAGTGAAAATCAACCTTTAGAGAGCTGTCTGTATAAAAAAGGTCACCATGATGACTTCACTACTGCAAAGTTCGTCGTTTGACGTTGGTCTTTCTACATTAACTGTTTACTAAGACTTCACTTCATTAGTAGGGCGGTTTTTCAATCAGCCAGTTTTCGTTCATAAACAAATGTCTGCTAACTATAAACCATAATTTTATAAAAACTAATTATTTACTTAAAGCGTGAGCAACAATGACATTTGCCTGGTTTTGCCTGAATGTGATCCTCCATTTACATATACTTCTCTACTTCCAAAAAAAACAAAAAATGGTGGAAAAAGAAAGGTAAATAATAAGCTAAGATGTCAATGAATTGACAACTTTCTCCCCACAAAGTCAACCGTCCAATGGTACAGTTCTTTACCACAAGTCGAGGTTAATGGGTCAACGAGACATTGTAGTTCTTCGTACTCTGTGTCATGCAAGGGGTTCCATGTGGGAGGCACTTGCACATGAGGCAAATTGGTGGAAACAAGCTCGTCGATCAGCCATCCATGCATCATTTGGGTCCTGCCCTTCTCCAAAGGCCGTTAAATGTAGATTTGTCCAAAAGATGTCGAGACCTCGAGCCAATGCAGCCAGCGGTGTTCCCGTATTAGCATGCGTGACATGCGGGGTGGCCCTCTTGGGGTTTTCAGGGCTGCTATCCTTTTGCATTATTTTGCAAGCTATTCTAGCTGATCGTTGCGGATCACCTATTTGCTTTGTGCTGGCGAATCTTGGTGGATTCTTGCTCCCTCTCCTCCCTCCCTGTGTCATGCGGGGGTTTGCAGGTTAGTATTCCACTTGGGTAAGTATTTTCCACTGAGTTTTCTCTCAGTGTGACAGTGCCAGTTAGCGGCTGCTGGCAGGGGTGGTTCCCGCTTCCAGGGCTGCCTGGCTACCTTTTCATAGTTTATTTTTCACAGTTGGCCTCCCCAGTAACCTTTTAGGCACCAGTTCCCAAGCTCATCAATTGGCGATGAGTTTAACTTCCGTCAAAATCTTGTGATTGTTATGAGCAGAAATAAACTTCGTGAGATTCTTCTTCAATCATGGTAAGTAGACATAGTAAAGACAAAATAGGTCGGTCTCTTTCAGAGGGTCCCTAACACCCTCCTTTCTAGGTCATAAAATTCGGACTTGAAAACTGATAGCTCGTGTTTGTTAACTGATTGGCTATGTCATTCTATCCTCTGATTAAGTACCGGGACGTGACGATAACAGACCTTGCATCCTCTCCCCAAGCCGACGTCATATCCCTCCACACCAAAACATTCTCTCCACCAACCTGCAAATAGCTTCATTGAAAGAAAGAAGAACAGTTTCTGACTTATTGTTTGTTGAGCAGTGGCAGAAAGTTATGAGGCAGCTAAAACAATCAATACAGTGATGTGTCACAAACCTCCATCTAATTAATTTGTGGTTAGTGTCAAGGTGCCACAAATAATTAGGAAAAGGCACGGAGTAAACACGTCGCCGAATTGCTGGCCTCTTCCTTGTTGTCATAGAGGGATCTAAGTCACGTATAGCCTTGCGTATTTTGCTACGCTGAACGTTGATTTGTTGGGCTCTAAGGTGACCTTGCGGCATAACCTCGCCAGCATTGGGATGATTCCCCTTGATAGAAGAGACAGCATGCTAAATATCTGCCTCTGAAATATCAGAGTAACGGGTTTCTTGTAGATTGTATTCTGCCATCGCTTTGTACACTGTAGGATGGGATACCTGTAAGTCTTCGACAATATGGGAAACCAGTATCCCATAGCCATAGCAACCCTTCCAATTGCTCTTTGGATAAGGCCTTTCAAAGTCAGTATAAAAGTATTTCATTGGTTGTCATGATTAATAGCTTACAAATAATTATCAGTGGCGGATCAAGGGGAGGCCCCCCCCCCATTACTTTTGGATCAAACTGAGGCCTGAATCACGAAGGGCCGGAAAAAAATTGTTGGGACCCCCCCACCTTATCTAAGGGTCTGGATCTGGGACTGATTATTGTCATAAAAATGTTAGTAACCGCTCTGGTTTTGCTATGTTGTAATTCCCCAAACTCCTCAGTTAGTTTTACTCCGGGCCAAGGAGGGGGAAGACCATAAATTATCAGCCTAGAAACGGACATAACCATTTGACTCCACTTCAGTACTATAATCCAAGAAGTCCTTATCATGGCATCTTATAATTAAAAAGCAACGAAGTTAAAAGGATGGGTAGCGTTATGATAAGTCACTTCACATGACTACAATGGTTAATAATAATAAATAATAATTCCCAGGAGTGAAACAGTCCTCAAATTTACCATTTGCTAGGAATAATGTATTATCTCAATAATATTTAGGAGACATTCACAATGATAATATGTAGTATAGCTGCAGAGCAAGTGTTTGGTAACAGAAAAGCAGAGGTACATTGATCATGCCCAACATCTTGAGAAGCCAAGAAAATCAGTTTTTGACTCGTCCCAACTCTCAGGTGGTATTAACGTCTAAGATGGCGGGATAATGTTATTCCTGAAAAAAAAAAAAAATGGATCGCCCCAACCTCGTCCCCAGGGTCGAGGTTAGGTTAGGGTCAGGGAAGAGGTTGGGATTGCGCTGCTAAATACGCCTGCTTTTGCAGGCTATATGTTGTAGCATAGCAAGGAACTTACTGAATTTAAGGCAAGTTCACTCCATTGCTTGAAGCTGCCCGATTGCAAGCTGCAGTTAGTTGGTCACTGGAAGCTGGCTATAATATTACAAGGAAAAGATGATTAATCAGACGTGACATACATTTCTTACCGCCTGGAGCGATTTTAATGCGCGGCTCATACCGCGTAAGACAAACGTGTCACGCGATGCTATGTCTCGAAAAATAGGTTGACAGCAGAGGTGTCACCACACAAGGACGAATTTAGGTGGTGTTGTTGTAAACTCAAGCAATTCTAATATCCTAGATGCTCTATGGGAAATTACCTTGGCTTGAGCTCGAGTTAGATTAGCCGAGGTGACTATTAAAAGATCAAAATCGATTTGGGGGGTGTACTCAAGGGAAGATTAATGCACCAGTCAATGTAAACCCCCGCACCCCCCCCGGCCGGGACATAGCGGGGCATTTGCAGGGACTTTTCTGTTTGACGAGCGAAAGGGCCGCAGGTATCGGGGACTTTGACCTCTTTTGCACGTCATCCAAGAACAGCGGGGGAGTGGACCGGGATATTTTCCACAGAGGTGGACTGGGTCAAGAATCGCTAGTCCGGCAAGATGGTGGCTTTTGGCCATGAAAAGAAGTCAAGAGTCGTTTTATGTTAATCACCTTATATCTTTGGCCGAGTATGCTATCCGTCCTTAAGGTCGTTGTATAATGCTAAGAACACATATATATAATTGATTGTTTTGTGAACAAAAATCTTGTCACGGTTTTTGCTCGTAATTTATTCTGAAAATCACTCGACTGATCAAGCATGTCACCAGGTGTTTATATTCTCTTCTTCTGCATATTTAAAAAAAATATTTTGTACATGGATAGGTCTGTACACGGATAGGTCTGAATTAAAGTCTTGTATTGTTCTTGATGGTGCTACAAAACTGTTGTTCATTGGTGCAAATTTTGTGTAGGTGCTTGTCGAGTTTGGCGAGAGGAGACGTGATGTGTATCTCTGATGAGGGATCTCTAGACGTGCAAATGCTGTTGAAAGAAGTGAAAAACGCATTTGGCATACAGTCGCAAGGATGTAGTTACTTTATTCAAAAGTTTGATCAAGACTGGAATGAGTGGGTGGACGTTACTGATGCTTCCTCTCTTGTCAATAGAGATAAACTAAAATTAAACAGAGCAAACCGTGAGGCAACAGAGGTGAGCTTCTGTTTGTCTGAAAATTAATCTGAAAAGTAATTGTTTATAAGCTTTCTTCACCTTTAAATATGTGAATGCATGGGGTACCCAGTGTGATGAAATGAATGAAATATAAAATTGGGAGCAAACTGACAAGCTTAAAAATTTAATGTTCTGTTTTTCGTGTCTTCCCGCCAGAAAAGTTATTTTAAATAATGATAAAAACACTGCATTGATTTTTATGGTATATAGTGTTTTCACATGACATCACAACAGCCATGCTGCTGTCCCAAAATGAAGAAATGGCGGCCATGTTGGTGTCCAAACTAAACCTCTGGGAATTGAACTCTATTTTTTTGCAAATACTTTCTTTTGTTTCAGTAAACCGATATGGCCAGTAGACACGTGAATTAAAACGCTCTATATAATTTGTTTCTTTAAATAGGAAGAGAATTCTACAACTACCAAAAGAAGTTCTTCAAGTGCATCAAAATCAGGTATTGTAGCATGAACATATTGTCTTGAAATGTTTGTGTATTTTCATTATACGAATGTTTGGAAATTTAATAAGTTTTATTTATTTGAAGGCTGAAATTCATCAATGATATAAATAATCAGCAAAGTTAACTGATTTTAAATTATCATGAATTTCTATGCAACAGAGAGGGAGACCACTACCATTTTTACAAGTGTAACTATAAAGGGGAAAGCTCAAGGAACATTATTATTTGAAGGTGGAATGTTAAATATGTGACAATCCACAATGTACAGTTAATGGTTCCATTTTTCTTGCGTTGGAATCACGAGAGAGCCTACAGGACACTGGTATTGCGATGAGTGCCAAGTGAAGGTTGGCCAGGAGAAGGTCTTCAGTGGAAACAACAAGGTGGAACAGGAAAGTTAAATGTGTTTGCTCAAATTTTGAAATACATAACATTTTATACCATTTGAAAAGCATCGTATGCTTAGCTTCAATTAGAGGAAAAACTTGACCTTGGGGTGCGGGGCATTTTCCAACTTTAGAAGTGAGCGGTTGTCAAATGCCCCGCTATGTCCTGGCCAGGGGGGGGGGATGGAAGGTGGTTGCGGGGGTTTACATTGACTGGTGCATAACCGTGGCCGATTCCACCAAGGCCTTCAAACCACAGGCAGACCACCCTCTGTTAGTGGGGGCCGTTGTTGATTGAAACCTGAGCAATGGTCTTTTGTTTTTTATAGAAAAAATACATATGAACAAACAGTGGCTATAATTTGTTGCAAAATGCAGCTTTTAAAGCACATTTTTCAATAAAAGTTTGAAGAAAATCTTAACTTAGTCATGTGTCATGTTCTTTTCGCTGTCCCGTGCTGTTTTAAGAGCTATTTTGCGAGATGAATATTTGACCTTGGCGGTTAGAGCTAAAGAAGGAGACAAGGCAGGCAGCAATCAGCCGCTGGTGCATGACCCAGTCCAATTTAAGCTGGAACTGACGCCAACCTATTTAATTTTTTACCTCAAATTCACCGGCTCCCGATCCACCTAGATAAGTATCCATGCCCCATCTGAATGAGAGCTCAATCCTTCCAACATTTCTCAAGAAAAGCGGTCCTGAAGTTGCAAGACCAGCTTTCTCAACATGACCAGTGCAAAAATCTCAACCGAAGGCATTTGAGGTATGCACATTGATTCAAATCCACCAATCAGCATATCGCGACTGTTGGCAGTTCAAAACCACAACCCTGCCCCGCACAGGATGTTTGTAACTTCTGCTCCTCAAAACAGAAGTCACTTGTAACCAATCAACTGAGCGGCACTGAGTTTTCCCGGGTAATACGACGCCTGTGTGTTTGTTTTGATTCTGTCAACCGTTTTTGATCAGTGTTATTCTTCATTCAAAATGAATCACTGGACTTCAAAGATGAAAAGGAAGCAGTCAGCTTTCCAGGAGAAAAGATGTTGGTAAGTCTTAATCAGCAGTGGAGAGATTCATCTCGTATACTCGTACTCTCAATTTTTAATGAAGGTTAAGTGGTACATATAAGAAACTTTAGTTTTGTGTCAGCATTGGGAGTATATATATTAACGAACTACGTTACTGTTCACGACAGGTTTTTGCAAACGTTCTAGTTCCATGTGGGCAAATATTTGTCCATGATGGAAGTCATGGCTACTTTCACTAACGAAAAAGAAAATTTAAACTTCAAGTTGGATGACAGAGATGTCCGAGCATTAGTAGCTGATCTGTTTGATGAAGTTAAGACGTTCTATCCATGACAAGATGGCAAACAAGTGGCCATGTTTTTAAACATCTCCAAGAAAAGGCCAGATGAAACTAGAAATGATACCTGGAAAAGTATGGAGATTTCCTGTGTGATGAATGGATGGGTTTTGCGAGAAAAAAACGTCAATCCTCCCTCGCTTCAGCAGATTGGCCGGTGTCTACATCGACGGCAATGAAGTTGTGATACAACTCAAGATCAATCCTCTAACAACAGAGTTTTCGCTCAAATCATTTCTGGGTAACATCCTGACCCATGAAACTTTTGGCTTTAAGGCAAACGAAAACAAAAACCTCCCCTTTATTCTGGAGTACCTTGCATGGTTTTCGGTATGCTGTGGACTCCCCCCAAACAATCACAATGATTCTGTTGTTAGAGAAGAGAGCGATAAAATGTACACCCAGGTCAAAATTGGCACGCGAACAGCCTATTTGTCATGCAAATGCCATCAAGTGGTGCCGTCCCTGGGGGAGACCTGTGTGGAGTATGGATATCTGAAAAGACTTTTGTCCAAAAGAAAAGAGACATACTCCAATATCATGAAGACCAAAAACTCTCTTATGGGTGACGAAGGAAAGCTAGTGAAAGTGAATTTTATTTTGAAAGGAAAGAGAAATGCTCAATGGCAAGAGAAATACTGGCGAACGAAATTTGAATCTGAGTGCTTGTGTGTCACAGATGAAGACCACCTCGATTTTAAATCCATCCTGAGTTCTGTGGACACCTCCAAAATAAAAGGAGACATAGCTCTTGTGCTGGAGCAACAGCAAATGGCTCTTACAAGAAATTCCTCAAAGGGATACTGATGGCACCCAAAGTAAGTCACTATGTAGGATATTATAAAAGAGGCGTATATTATATTACAAACCCATTCGTTTGATAGAAAACATCTTCAGTAAGGAAAATAACATATAGTGCACAATGTCTTTTTACGTCAGCTCCCAGAATCCTGTAGGTTTGTAGCTTTCTTGACCAAATTTATAGTATAAATTTATATAGCATGATATCATCATACCTGTACTTTTGATTTATATGTTATGGGGGCCATTTCAAGGATATTCAATTTGGTACTAATTAGAATGCTAAAGGATAGTCGTATAAACATAACAACTTTCTTTAATTTTCCAGACACGTTTTGACGGTATATCCGTCATCTTCAGTATTACATATTTTGAAATCACTGTTGAATTTAAAGCGCGCGCGATCTTACAAAGTTCGTTACATTGCCTTGTCAATATTGCGTACTAAAACAAAATTAAATGAGTGACGCTTAGTTCTTTACAGGAAGAGTCAGGTTAATGTGTTTCACCTGCTGGTTGAGATCGGGCTTCTCCCATTTTATAAACATGGATTCCTTAAGCTTCGCTTGGTACTTATGCTACTAGCATAATTATTGAAACAGATCGTACAAGACAAAAGTGGATGGTGGTGGAGTAAATCATTTACCATTATCTCGTATATCATAATGCACCTTGTTTACCCCCAAAAGTTTACATTACCACCGTGTTCAGTTTCTCTTGGGATGACTGTAAAAAATGTTTCAAGGTTAACAGGTGCAAAATATTAGGGTCTATGTGAAAGTGGTAAATAGCCATAATGATTTAATAGCTTAGTGTATAGGTTTGGAAGTACCAGTAATAGGTCACAAGTTAAATTACAACCATCAGGTACTGACAATCTATTCCACAGAATTATTCGACTGTGTCTTGACTTGTATTCAACATTCCCGAAAGCCTTTGACACTTTGAAAGAACATCTCATTCTTCCAAGCAAGAGGCTCATCAGGTAGAAACATGGCTCTAACATGTTATTCTTGCTACAAACACATTTCTTGGATGCAAAATAGAAAGTCTAACTACGGATCAGTGACCAATAATAATATGCTTATTTACAAGAACAAGGTATTACAAGAATTCAGTTTCAAGTGTATCCAAGTTTTTTCTTAGTGTCACGGAGAAGCACGCAGGTTGAATTTGAAAGACAAGGATCTATGGGGAGGACTGATATTTGATGAAATGACAATACAGGTACATATTCTTAGACCTTTCATGTGTTTAATTTATGCTTCTCAACCTTAACCCTACAAAGTATCAAAGTTAACCAAAATCGATTTTATCCAAACAATGCAAACACAGCTGTACATTCTTTTATCACTGGATTTAAATGATCAAAAGACTTTAAACAATATTAATATCGTGAAAATGAAAGGCAATATCTACATATATGTTGCATAACTCCATAAATTATCTTTTTTATAGAGGTCGGCAGGATACAACTTGTTCCACAGTGACAATCAGGATACCACTGAAAACTTTATGATTTGTCCATGCTCAGTTATGTGCCTAACAGACAGTGTGCTTAACATTGGAAACACTGTTTGGTTTTCCTACAATGTACCTTAAATACATCTATTTTTAAATCAATTAAACCTGAGGATTTTAAATTACATGTGTGTTTATACAGGAGGATTTGGAGTTTGCTAGAGTTGGTGGACAGAAAAGGTTGATGGGTGCTGTTTCTCTTGGACAAAGTTATGAAGACGTCAGAAGTTTAACTGAAGGTTTGAGGGATTCTTATACACTGTAAATGTTCAAATAATACTGAAAACATTAAGTTACATTGTACACTTTGAAAAGAACTGCACCAATTAACCCAGTCTATACCCTCCATCTGAAGGAAAAAGGAAAATTCAAACCGAGGAGGAGGTTTTCAACACCTCAAACTCCCAACATTGGCAAAGGTAAAATTTGGCAGAAAAAGTAATTTTTCAAAAACTTTCAATACTTTTCAGACAAAAAAATAGTGCATCCAAACATCAACTGATGAGATTTTTTATTAGTTAACTAGGAACATCATGATGACGTGTAGTCTCGTTCGCAGCTGTTATCAGGGTCGTAAGGCAATGCTCCTCCCCACTAAGCATTACGTGACCACCCTAATAATCGCTGCGAAGGAGACTACATGATGTGAGACTAATGCAGAAACACAAAAGATAAAATGATGAAACATATCACCTCAACTCTATCAAGATCTCAGAACATTTTAACAACAATTAATCACCTTTCACTTTTTTAAAAGGCAACAATGATCCTGAATCGGCTTCAAAAGTGATGCAGTTTGCATTAGTCACCGACAGTGGTTTTCGATTTGCCTTAGCCCATTCTCCTGTCAAAAGCTTGCCTGCAGTAACACTACTAGAGAAATTCTGGGAAGGTATTGAACGCTGCTAGAGAATGGGATTTAGGTAAGTAAGATATTTTGATCTTAATACCATTCCATCTGAGAGTCACATGAACAAACAAGATGCTGCAATAACTGTTGCTAAATAAATAAATGTTTACAAACTAGGCTTGAAATGGAAAACTGACACACTTTGTATTTCTTAAAATTGTCAAATTTTTAGAAATCTTGAAGGGCAAATAAAAAATCAATGTTGAATATGTTTAAATAATTGAAAATAAGCAAATAAATTAGCACAGCTTCAAGTATGAACTGAATTAGTGTCACTTGCCATCTATATACAGGTAGCCATGCATTACTTTTGAAATATATGTTCTTTTTGACTTGGATAATGTACTACACTTATGACTTTTAAACAATGGAAAAATACAAACAAAATAGCTGAAATGAAAATTATGTACATCAAATGCATTTCAGACTGAACTATAACACTAACAATCTGTCCCTTGTACTTTCTTATTACAGAATTTATTGGGTGTTGTGTGATGGAGGGGAGCCAAACAGGTCCTTTGTGAAGCTTCTTTATCCATATGGATCAGATCCAGCAGAACATCACTTTGTTGCAGACAACTTGCACACAGGACGGAAAATTGTCAAGATGGCAGACTCCAAGGTAAAACAACGAAAAGACAATGAAATCACACTTAAGTGAAGACAACCTGCCTAAAAAATATAAAGAAAAATCTTCCATAAAATAAAGAGCTTTAATAACTTATAGACAGTCTTAACTCAAACACAGTATTAAATAAATTTCTGTCTTCCCTTTATAGCATAACTTCAAGAAAATAAGGAATCACCTCGAAAAAAGTACCCTGCAATCAAACAATACAAGGCAATTGACAGTGAACAATTTAAGAATACTCTTCAAGTTCTGGAAGGATGCCTATGAGTGGGACCAAGGAAGCCACTCCCTTCCCCTGCATGAGAGATTAACAGATGGACACGTCCAGCTGAAGATGTATTAGATAAAAGAATGTTGTTTCTCATGGAGGTATTTGACATTTTGCTTTAGAAAACTATTGTTCAAGTGATGTTGCCTTTAATGATAAGGTAGTCAAAAGAAATATGCAACAGCATATGCTGTGGTTTACTTGTCCTTTGTTGAAATTATATTTTCATTTCTGGGGGATGTAAGGTGATGTACAATAAAGGTGTTGAAACGAAATAAATAAAATTGAAACCAAGGATAACATTGAACGAAAAAAATACACACTGAATTTTTTAATCCTCTTTTCATCGGTCGATAACAGTACATGCAGCACTTCTCTATATGGACAGGCCTTTTAAGTTCATAAAAAAACCGTTAACATCACAGCCTCATCTATTACTTGTGGAAGAATGGACAAATAATTGAAAAAACAAAAACAACATCACTAAAATGCTTCAAAATTATATTATAAAACAGAAAGAGTTGACTCAAACTTAGTAATTGTTAATTGGTGCAGAAGGTTATTTTATTTATAGACATCATTTTCATTTTTTTAAGAAATATAAGGAACATCTGGCGAGCACAGGACAAACAGCAGAATCAGCAGCACTGACTGAACCCATTATATTCCTGAAAGATACGCCGAAATTAAATTCACGTAATGATCTCATTTTAAATATAAGGGCAAGCTAGGTGACAAAGGAAAATAGAGACTCAACCAATGTTAAAAATTTTTAACCTTAATACATTGTATAAATTTAGACCTGCAACTGCTACATTCATTTTAGTCATTTCATCTTGGGAGAAAAAAAATCTAGTTTATGCTTTTGCATTGCAAAATACTGTTCCTGATCTTATGTTTTACAAAGCAATGTATGCAATATGTTACACCAAGTGAAGACAGAAGCAATGACTTAACTGACAGCTGAATAAAACAAGTTGAGCAATATTGATTTGATAAGAGAAGTGAAATATATATGGGAAAATATATAAAGAAAAGAGAAAATGGAAAATGAAAACATAATCATATTGTTCTTCATCTTTATATTACAGTTTTATAATCCTGCAAATGATTTTCACCTTAATTAAGATATTTTATCTTACCATAACATCAAAACTGTCAAACAGGTCCCTCCATTGCAACCTCAGGCCCTGGTCATTCAACAAGCCAGCTTCAACAACTTCAACCAGTTTGTCGCCATGCACTTTGAGCATTCTACTATTTAGGCCATTCATTCTTGAACTGATCTGAGACATGGATCAGTCCATGAGTTCTGTATTGTCGTGACTCTGTCAGTTCGAGTGTTCCAGGATACTTTGTTTCAGAACATAAAATTCCACAGGGAATCACGACAATGCTTTCAATAACTTCAATCTTGTGAAGGCACTTGTTAACTTGGGACCTTGTGGCACTGCTAGCAGTGTACAAGTTGTCCCTTACATATTTTTTTGCCTTCTGTAGTACCCTGCTCACTGCCCACGCAGCCACAAAACGAACTTTTCCTTTGCCAACATCATTCATTTGCTTAACAGAAAATGTGGACACCATGTCATCACGTGACTTTGCTCTGACAGACTCTCCAACAATATGTGGTGTATTGTGGAATACACCAAGGACAATGTCGAAGCCAATGCTAATCTCCACTGGTTTTAGTAAAGTGCTTTCAGGTGTCTGAAAACATTCTTTGAGCCATCCTCTATACTCTAATGTTCTTGAAATGTCAAGAGATTGTTAATAAAACTCTTTTAAATACTTTGGGGAAAATACAATATCTTGAATGTTTTCTGTGAGGTGTTTTTGCAGTAAAACGAAAATCTTATGCCAAACAATCTGGACTAGTGCAGAAAACTGATCAATGTGCCTCACAGCTAAATCCACGGCAGCATTCTTATCACGTCCAAAGTTTGATTCTTCCCCAGGCAGACATTGCCCTTTGAATGACTCAACGAACATTTTCATGTCAAAATCTTGAGGAGGTTTGCTCAGGATGTGTTCGTTTTCCTCAACCATTTCCAAAACCTATTCCATACTTACAGGTCTCTCTGATTGTTCCTCAGTGTTACTCTCTTTATCATCAATCATCTCCTGTACGATTTGAAGTAATTCCTCATCACTAATGTCTTGAGGGTTGATGGGTTGTTCTCCCAAAGAATGATGATCCATTTCCTTAAAGCATGGGCGGTTTACAATGTTACTGTTTGGAAGATTGTTGAGTTCATTCAATTCCTGGTTTCGTTTGCAAACATGCTTCTTATTAAAACCTAACACTTGCACGTCATCGATTGACCTAACTCTTGAAAAAGCTGTATAAAGCAGTCCACCGGTGAATTCATAGGCTGAGTGAACTACAACTTTTCCAAGAGTTAGCCCTCACGATTTATGGATGGTTGATGCCCAGTGCAACTTTAAGGGCACTTGCAACCAATGCTGTGTCCATCTTCACTGACGTTGGTCAAGGATATTTTCTGGATGACATATTCACCCCCACCCACGTTGATAACTGCTGTATTCTCCTCCAGCTTTCTCCCAAAAGCTCCATGGGTTCCGTTGTGAATGATCTCGTTAATGTTATACAAAAGTACAACAGGGGCACCACTTTTGAAACAAGATATCTTCGGAGCTGGACAGTTGAGTCCTCGCAGGTCGCCGATGTCGATAGCCATAAACGATTCGCGCTCTCTGGGAAGCAAATCCAAGCAGGAAACATTGTGCGCATTGACATGCAAGTTAGTAAAATACAAATGAATAGCGCCATCGGCGTTGTTTAAATGCCTCAAAAGGCCCGAAATTGCTTGCTCTGAGTCACTATCACACCTTCCCACAGGAAGCTGTCCCAGGATATTGCGGTAAACGACCTCATGTTCGTTCTGCTGATGGACTATGGTAAGTTGCATGGTGTGTGGCAACAGACTAGGGAATAAAACAGACTTATACATCGGCTCACCATCATCAAATTTATCTGTGACGGGCTTAAGTTGCAACCAGTCGCCAACAAGAATGGTTTGAATCCCTCCGAAAGGTAGTTTCTTATCACGGACGTGCAATGTTATCGCATGAAACCATTTTAAAAGCCTTGAACTGCCCATAGAGCATTCGTCCCAAACAACGTATTTTGCTTCCAATAATTCTTTTCTGATCCTTTGGTTGCTGCAAGCCTTTTCAACAATGGAATTAAAAGATCCTTGGGCAGTCCCTACACCAATAAATGAATGCACAGTCACAGCAGGGAAAGCTAGATTGCCATCGTCCTTAAAAACTTTGCAAGCTATGCCCGTAAAGCAGACAACTCGCACCCCTTTTCCTTTACGCCTGCAGATTTGCCACAACTCGAGATTTTCCAGTCCCAGCTTCTCCAAATATAGAAAAATTATGACCTTCCAATGCTTTTTTCACACACTCTTCTTGCTCACAAGTAAGTTTCACTGCCATCGAATCTATGCTTTTAGCTTTGCACGTGCTTTTGACAGAATCAAAACAGACACACAGGAATCGTATTACCCGGGAAAACTCAGCGCCACTCAGTTGATTGGTTACAAGTGACTTCCGTTTTGAGAAGCGGAAGTTACAAACATCCCTGTGCGGGGCAGGGTTGTGGTTTTGAACTGCCAACAGTCGCGATATACGGACTGGTGGATTTGAATCGACGCACATACCTCAAATGCCTTTGGTTGAGATTTTTGCACCGGTCATGTTGAGAAAGCTGGTCTTGCAACTTCAGGACCGCTTTTCTTGAGAAATTTTGCAAGGATTGAGCTCTCATTCAGACGGGGCATGGATACACATCTAGTGGATCAGGAGCCGGTAATTTCGAGGTAAGAAATTAAATAGGTTGGCGTCAGTTCCAGCTTAAATTTGACTGGGTCACGCGCCGGCGGCTGATTGCTGCCTGCCTTGTCTCCTTCTTTAGTTCTAACCGCCGAGGTCAAATATTCATCTCGCAAAATAGCGCTTTAAACAGCACGGGACAGCGAAAAAAACATGACACATGACTCCGTGAACATTTTCTACAAACTTTTATTGAAAAATTTGCTTTAAATTCTGCATTTTGCAACAAACTATAGCCACCGTATTGTTCATATGTATTTTTTCTACAAAAAACAAAAGATCATTACTCAGATTTCAATCAACAATGGCCCCCAATAACAGAGGGTGGTCTGCCTGTGTTCAAACTCTATCAAACCCTGTTTAAGACAAAACCGTTTATTTCACTACTTGTTTACAAAAGAAGACATTTTCTCATGACCCTGATTCGTTAAATATCAGGCCGGTACAACAAGCAAAAGTGTCATGCAATGGTTTGCGTTGGACGACAGGCCAGGTTAATAGCAGAGGTGACCTTTAAGTAACAATGAATAGTCTATTGCAAGAATTTACATTGTGATGATTTTCCATTCTTAAATGATCTGTTTCTCTTCCTTACAAAGATTTCTTGCAACAGAACTTACCTGTTGAATTGCTGATGTCGGCGTTGAAGTATCCGTCGGCTGCACATGTGCCGGGACATGTTGGTCATGTTGGTTTGGTGGCGAATTCTGAGAAAACGGCATAAAATCTATTAGATGTAACCCGCCCATTAAAAGCAATCTCAAAAGACTGAAGTTAGATGCTTACCTGGGCAAGAACAGCACTCACTGTCTCGCTGATGGCCCGAGAAACGACCGTGGAGAGGGAGCGTGTAAGGTGTTGATCAGCCATCACAGGACTCGACTCAGAAGGCATAGAATTCCCGCCATTTCCATGGAATAAATTACAGTTTTGGCGCGCTGGTGAGTCATAAATTAATTGACCAGCGACACGCGGTTCCAGGGGTACTTCAATGAAATATGAATCCTCTTTGGTGGGCCTTCCCACAGGATGTCCATTTTCACACTCTATGGCACCTTCTTCGATTTTTTTTGTGCAAATCGAACAAACTCGCACTTTCGTGACATTGGCTAGCGATGGTGTAATCTTTTTTAACAACTCTTTAAAGGTTTGAGGTAAAGCTATTTCAACCTCTTCAGGACAATGTAACTTAATTAAAGTGAGCAGATCACTCTGAGCTTTACGGGGAAGCTTGTACTTGCGACTGAACTGCATGATAAGAATACAACTGGCACCAACAGACAAATTAGATCCTTCGTAAATGCTCTTCGTAAATAAGTTCGCACAACGACCTTCACTGTCTGACAGAAAATAGTTCTCGTCACTTTCACTTGAACTGCTATCGTTTCCACTCGAATTGTCACACGAATTAAATTCTTCACCGTTGGAACTACTGGAGTTACTCAGCAAAGATATGCAAGTTTCATCCTCTGCTTCTTCATTCACAAGAGCAGGATTGATCTCTCTTTCATCACTACAATCACTATCAGCCGCAAAAGTGGATAATTGTTCGTTGTCTGTATCTTGAAACGAAGGAAAGCACACAACGGTTGTCGTTTCGTTCGTACACACATGTGGAAGATCTGCTGAACCACTTTCGCTTTCATTTGAAGATGAAGACATGTCTTTCGTGCCTAAAACTTTTTTGCCACAAACTGAAGTAGTATTATTAGTAGTATTTGAATCAACGGGGTTGTCATCATCCGAGGATTCCTCTTCGCTGCGATGTTTACTTGAAGGAAGAATCACTTGTCGTGACTGTGTCGGTCTTCGCTTCACCTTTGGCTGTCTGGTTTTTCTCTGACATCCCTTGCTGCAATCATCATCACTTGCGTCGCTACTGTTCGATATCCGTTGCTTGATACTACAACATTCGAATTCTGTTTGTTTAGATATATCGAATAAATCTTCGCTGCCGTCCAAATCCATGGTTTCATCTTTCATGTCGTTCTCAGAGGGTACTTGCGGAAAATGAGCATGCAGGCGAAGCGGAAAATTTGTGGTCACTTCATTGGTTAACAGAACCTTTAATTGACAGTTGCAAGAAAGGCACGAAATTGCGTGCTCCTTATTGGCTGACAAGAAGCGAGCCCCAGTTATACATACTTTTGTTTTATTCCTCATTTGGGGCTTTTTCTTCATCGCTCTTCATCGCTGTTAATTGCTCCTTCGCTCTTTCATCAATTGGAAATGACGTGTAGAACTTTAATCAAACAGACACAAAAAGGTAAGAAAACTCCGTGTACCTTATTTGTTTGATAGAAAAAAATGGAGAGGATCGAAATTTTTTTCTCTTTTCCTTTCCGGATGACAACACATTTTCTCTAGTTCAAAGGAAGCAAATCTCATGTACTGACGAAGACATTAAACTTGGAGCAAAACTAAAAGTAAAAACCGGCGCCAAGGTGTACATGGGTTACTTGTTGAATTTTGGTAAGTAGCCTAGCTTATCTACTCCATTTTTCTGTGAACTTCAGCAAATAAACAATATTTAACTTTTGACTCCACTAATTATGTGTGATATGAATAACTAGACAAGGTCCTTTTAACAGATTCTTACACGAGAATGACTTTCTCAAAACTACCCTGCGTGAACAAGCGTCATTTTGGCGGGAAACGTGATAGCTGTTCTCATACTACTAAGTTGTGGTGGCTCTTCCAGTGAAAAAAAAAAACCTTGCTAATTTTTACGGTGACAAACGTACAATGAAGCTTTTCGTGGTGTTTGCTTTTTGAGAATACGGAAAAAACTTTAAAAGAAATCTCGTCCTCGAATCTCGAGAACCTAGCCTATGGCTTTATTAAAAGTCCTAAGCTATGTAAGCAAGAGAAGACAAAAACTCAGTCACAAAATGGTTCCCAGCGGTTATATAAACTTGAGAACAGAAAGAAAATGACTTGCAGGCAGTGGTGAAGGATTGGATCACAGCACTTAGAGAATCCTGTGAATAATGTCACGGTGTTGGAAGCCAACTTGACGAGAAGGCAACCGGGTGAGAAATTACAGTGTTTGTATGAAAATCTAATGTCAAATAATTTCTGTAAAACGGCTTTTCTGAAAAAAAAAAATGAATTGTGAACTAACGATTCGCTCCTAAGGATTCTACTGAAATAAAACAAATTGAGGGCGTTACATGTGCTAGAAGACCTAAAATCACTTTTAAAATTTTTTACACATTTGTCTGTAAAAATTTCCCACGAAAAATTGCAGACAAACGTTGAAAACCTAAAGCAAGCCTCTGGAAAAATCTAAGCACAGGTACCGCCCCCGAAACTTATTAATAGAATCCTTTGGTGTGTAGCTTTAGTTTACAATTGATATGTTTTTTATAACAGCCGTTTTTTAAATTATTCGACATGAGAATCTCATACAAACACTGATGGCTTACAAAACCGCGACAAGGTCTATGCTACCGCGATATTTCCAGGGCGGGAAAGTACAATAAAACAATTTCAAAGTCTTTTTTAAGCGACCAGGATGTCTAGTTTGTTGGGGTGGTGCAATAGAGCCTGCTCGTGGGCTAATGACTAACTAATTCCAGTAACTTTCTTTACAAGGAACCAAAGAAGACATGGAAACGATCATAAAATTGCAATACCCGACAGGTCAACCTATCACAGCATGTGAGGTTCGGTTGCTATAAGGTTCTACATAAGAAAAACTTTGGTGAAATCCTATGAAGATGATTATATCCTCAGGGTATAAGAAATATTTATGCATTTTTGTAGGGTGCGCTGCCTTGCATTGTGGTCATGTTATATCCACTGTTCACGTCAAATGGTTCCCAAAAAACTGGTTAGAGGAAATGTTTGTCATGTATGTTATGCTATTGTAGCTAGCTAGCTTTATAGGCTACCTAGGATCATAAATGTCATGGTTAACATACCGTAAAATTCCGAAAATAAGCCCTGGGACTTATATTTTTCAAAGGCCCTTTTTGAGGGGCTTATAGTCGGAGGGGCTTATCTACGGAGGGAAATTTGCGTTTCTAAATCTATTGGGCTACCCTTATAGTTGAAGGGAAATTTACCATTTTTGCTTCGTTTTCATTTGTATTTGAGGGCAATTTCCAAGTACAAGCCCCTGGGGTCTTATATTTGGAGAGGCGATTTAACGGAGGGTTTTTTGTGTTACGAGTTTGGGGGGCTTACATTTGGAGGGGCTTATACATGGAGGGGCTTATTTTCGGAAATTTACGTTATCTTTGCTTTTGGCTCCGCTTTCTTTGCTCATAAAGTTCAGTAAAAATTTTACTACTAGATAAAGAAGAGCCAGTGAAAGGCAAAGGGGAACCAATGAAGTGTGCAGCTTCAGATCAAGCTGATCTACAATCCAGGAAACGCAAGGCACAAGCACAACCAGATTTTGTCGAAGATAGCAGTGAAGATAGTGGAGATGAATTCATGAAGGCGGAACAAGACAAAGTAGCGAAACTACTCTCAAAGCTTGGAAAGAAGGCAAGTACCGTATATGATATAAATATATTTACTGGTACGTGTTTAAGGAAAGAAAAGCTGACTTGAAAAATTGAAACAGCTAGCTGATCAACCCCCCTTCTTAAGTATGTAATCTGACCTTGTTGGGTATTTGACCCAAGATCGCGATCCCCCTTTTATCCGGAACACTGGTTTTAAGGAAAGGGTGAAGTTAAATTGCAATTTCCAGAACCTTGGGGTTGACTGGAGGGTTTAAATAAAAAAATATATAATTTTTTATGGACGGCATGCAATGTTAATTAGTTCATGAGAGAGGTTGAATTAAAACAAAAAGTTTAAATTTTTGAAATTCATACAGCCAATCGCCAACATACCTGCTCAGCCAACGTGCACAGCACCTGTAGCTAGTCAACTGGAGAAAAAAATTCTACATTTGGAACGGGAAGTGCAAGAAATGAAAGCATCACTGGAAAACATCAAAGAAAAACTCTCCAGTACTGTCCCAGCTGCTACTTGTTCTCCAAACCATGTAGGTTCAAACTCTTGGCTTCAATAAAATAGTCTGCTTAGTTTAACTTGATTCTTGTATAGTTTATTATACCCAACTGAAACTGCAATTCTTACAAACAAGGGTTATAACCCCATGCTAATGTGACACTACACATGGAAGCCATGTAAAAGTAACAAGCATTCTTATGTACCACTTACTATTTGTTGAAGAGTTTTAAAAGTAGAACACACCAACAGTAACGTTATAATTTTAACTGCCGCTAACTATGTTTGTTCACTTCTATTTTAGTCTCCATCTGGTTCAAACCTTCATGGTAACGAGGCTCCTGCTCTAAATACAGCTCTCAGTAAGCCAGAATTTGTAAGAAAAGTTAAATTAATTTGTTTTCCCCCAAATATTCATACCTACCTGGCAACCATCTTGGAAATTCGAGTTTACTACCAGTTAAATGTCAACAAACTTTTTAAAACATATCAAGATAAGTCTGACGCTTTGTTTCTTAAAAATTCATACTTTCCTTGGAACAATATAACAATTTGTTTTAATTTTGAGACTCTGCCCCCTCAGAATTTCCATAATTTTTGAACTTCTGTCCATGGATGGTGGTTATGTGGACAAATAATATATAATTTCACTAAATTATAGTTGACATGGTGATCCATATAAATAATTATTGAAACTTAAATTAATTGTGTCAATGGTTAGTATAAAACAAGGACTGCGGCCACGGCAGTGGAGAAAGAGCCAGGGGGAATTTAAAATGTCACAAAATGTTACAGGATCATAAACGTATTATACACCTGTAGACTACACTATTATTAATTAAGAAAAAGTGCACATATGCAGATAAATGTATAATGACATGCACCTTATCTAAATAATAGAAGCAGGAAATTTCCTTTTGAAGGATTAATGACATGTTAAATTTCTTTCAGTGACATAATGGCATTAACCTGATGAATGCCAAGGCACCCCCCAAGGAGCCCCACAAGTGTGCTCTGAACCTCCTAGACATGTTATTCCAGAAACAAGAGCTGGGTGAGGGAATATTATTCCAGTCAAGAAGATCAAACAAACCACCTCTGGATGAGGCTAGAGTGAGCAAAATGTTTGGTAAGTTTATACCTGAAACACATAGTTATGTGGTTAACAACATCAACAATAACAAAACTTTATTTCAAGAATTAAAATCCAATTATGCATTTGCATCTGACCACCAGTAGGACACACAGTGGGCCATGGGATAGGCCATGGACATTACCATGTTTGTGCACAGGGAGCCCACACTATCTGTTTGTGTAACCAATGTAATTTTATGGTAAATTGTATTTACCGTTTGCTTCATCTGTAGAGTTGTATCGCTAAATATGTGCAAAGTCAAAGCTAAATAAATGTTATGTTACCTTACCCTTGCCTGAGAAGTGGTAATTTGAGTGATTTTGAAGGATTTTGAGTTCACTGTATACTTTTCCTCTTAATAGAAATGACTTTCATATTAAGAGGAACAGTAAAAAGCTAACTCAAAACCTTCAAAAATCGCTCAATCGCTTCTCAGGGAAAAAGGACAACAATTTACCAAAGGTAAGGTGACGCAACCTTTAATTATTTCGCTTTGATACGTGTACATATATTTAGCGATACACCACTACAGATGACGCAAATGGCAAATACAGTACATTCACCATAAAATTACATCAGTTACACAACAGATTGCTTGGGCAGCTTGTGGTTTGTCTCGTTGGCTTTCATAAAGAATACAATAACGGATGACATGACTTTTTATAACAAAAATACTGTTAAGTCAATTGATCTGGTCAGGCATGACTTAAATTTGCATGCGGGAAGTGTTGAAATTAATACAATTGTACAGTTGAAACAAATTTATCCATTTATTTTCCTAGATGCTCTCAATGCTCTCTACAGTGCT